CTGTGTTGGGCCTCAATGGGGCCCAAACACATTGAGTCCATCCATTGGGAGCCTTTTTACAACTTAAGTTATTGATTTCTTGTGCCTTCCTGTTATGAAAGATAAACAGGGAAAAAATGCTCTTCTCTTATTGTCAGGGCTTACTCTCATTCTTTAAAGTTTACTTTTACTTGTGCTTGTGAAATTTTAATGCAAACCCTTGGTCATGGGCTGCTCTCCCCAAGTTAAGCAACTCTCCTTTAAAGCTGTCTGGAAATCTAAGTCCATGGTCCCCAGGCTCCTTGTGAACAAGCAACTTCAGAAATATAGCAGTGTTAAAAAGAAAAAAGAAATATAGCGGTGTTGTTTTTGAGCTTGTGCAATTCATAGGAACAGAGAATGTTCTTTATCTAAACGAGGAAGGTTCTGTTTAATAGGGTGACCAGACACATTATTCTCCAAAATCAGGAAATGCTTGAGAATGAGAGGGGTTTAACACTTGTGCTGGTAAAACCAAACCAAACTCACAGCTACAGAGAACAGATCAGTGGTTACGGGAGGGTGAGGAGGTGGGGGCCGGGGAAAGGAATGGAGCAGGTCAATTGTATGGTGACCAGTAGCAATGAGGCTTTGGGGGTGATCACTCTGTAGTGAATACAGATGAATGATCATGTTGATCCCTGAAACCTGTATATGTATATACTTAGGCTGGGATAACGTGAACATTTGGGTCAGTCCAGGGCACATGATCACTCAGTTGTGCCTAACACTAAACAGAGTAACACAGAATCTGTAAAAGTCCTTAGAGGCATCTAAGGCCCAAACTCGCACAGCGTCCAGAGCAGGCGTCCTCAAACTTTTTAAAGTGGGGGCCAGATCACGGTCCCTCAGAGAGCTGGAGGGCCGGACTATATGAACTACTAATTCCTACTGTAACACCTCGGCTGCGCTCACTGCCCAAAAAACCTGGCGGGCCGGATCAGACTCCTCTGCGGGCCGCATGTGGCCCGCGGGCCGTAGTTTGAAGACCCCTGGTCCAGAGTGTACGGGTGCACACACAGGGCATTGCACCAGCAGGCTTTTCTCCAGCCAAGCATGGCTTTCTTAGTGGCATCTGTTATGGTCTTTACTTCACATCTTGCACATGCAGGGGGAACTGGCATAAAGCTAGTCTGAATATCTTGGTATTCAAGTACCAACTAACCTACCTCTCCATCAACAAAGCTCTGTTCTCAGTAGTTTCATTGTCTTAGCTATCATTATTATTATAATTACCATCATCATTATTGTTGCTATAATTGTTTAGTTCTTACTCTGTGCAGGTTCTGTGCTGAATGTTTCATACACACACACACACACACACACACACACACATTCAGTCTTATGAGGTGGGTACTAAGATTATCTGAATTTTACAGAGGAGGAAACTGAGGCATAGAGAAGTTAAGAATTAATCCAAGGCCACCCAGGAGGGTGCAACACAGGCTTGGACTTCCAGAACTCCTCTTCACTGTACCTGACTTTCTTGCTAAATTTGTCATATTTTTTGCTTTTGATGAGTCATCAAATGTATGAAATACTTGGGAATCGGGCCTAGAAGCAACAGTTAAATATTATGTCAGTATCACTCTTTGTCAGTAGTAACTCTTCAGGCTGCTTCTGATAGGGTTTAGTGACATTCAGGGGGAAAATGTATTCAGGGAAGGAAAATTTAACTTAACTCTGTAACAGACATCCTTTTTCTTCCTCTGAAGAAATTTCTTCTGGGGAGCAAATTGGTCTGTTTGTTCAGGACTTGACATGTCTTTTGTCACATCAAACACAGGTCGGTTCTCTGAAGTTCTGAGCTCCCAGGGGTGAATTCCCAAGGGGACCTGGGTGGTGGAGTGTCTCTGTGGGTCTGTGCACCAGCCCTGCTGTCTCTGCAGGGAAGGCAGCTGGCCCTGGGCCTCGGAGGCCAGACCCCCGAGCTCCTGCTGTGGATCTGTAAAATCTTGTGGAGACTCACTGGTTCAGCGAGAAGTGATATAATCTCAAATAAATATATCTAAACAGATGAATGACGGTGGTTGAGAGGAAGTAAGTATTACATCTGGCTCCGGGAAGGAGATGGAGGAGAAAGAGCCCCCAGAGAGGTAGTTGTGTGGGTGAGTTCAGTTGAGCAGAGACTTTGTGAGTAGACACAGAGGGGGGGGAGTATGCAGACACCTCCAGAGACATACCAGTTGGTTCTGCTGTAACAGAGGGCCCGGGACAAAAGCAAAGGGTAAAACAGGAAAGGCGCTGAGTCACCGGCCACGGGCGTGGACTGAGCTGGAAACCATGTGAAGCCATGGGAAGCCGTGGGAATCACCTACAGGGCTCTTTGCAATTATCCCAGTGTGAACTTCTGAGGGCAAGAAAGAATGGAAAGGCCTGGAAACATACAGAAGACAAAAGGGGGAAAACAGAATCTCCAGAACTAAGGAGCCAGAAGGAAAACAAGCATCTCAGTATTGCACTGCCTTAAGCCCCTCAAAACATCAAGAATATTTTAACGGTCCCCCTAACATCGCCTGCCTGTCTCTCATGCTCATGCTCTAGGCTTAGGAAAAATGTGGGGTCCGTGTACCAGCCCTCTCCCTGTGGCCATGCTATAATGTTATGACTAACAGTTGAGCTCTGGTAAAGAATTACTCTCAAAAATCAAATTATGTTTCAACAGCCAGGGTAAATGCATCATCATGAGGGCATGTTCTTTGCACTGACTAGAATAAGCTTGCCTTTTATTATTATTTTTTGTGTGTCAGCAGTTCTAGTCTACAAAACCAACAATGCATGAAAGAATTTCTTGTTCTTAGGGAAACACACACACACTCTCACACACACACCATTCTCAGATCTGTGAGTGAGCCTGAGGCGGGAAGCAGCCCAGTGTCTGATGCCGAGGGAGTCTGCCTTGCCCAGATGATGGACCATCACAGCACAGAACACAGACAGGCCTGGCTCTTGTCAGGATAAGGAGAAAGCTCAGAGGTAACTCACAGGGTGGGGGGGGGAGGGGGAATCTCACCTTCTATCCATTCAGTAGAGAGTGATCCCTAGAACAAAGTAAAAAAGTAGATGTGAGACTTAGCATTTCCCCCCTTTCTCTCACTTCTATAAATATTTTAAGTCGCGCCGCAGACAGGAGCTGGGACAGCACTGTCAGCATGGAGCAGTCATCCCAGGGACGCTCCCGTGCTGTCTGGCCTGCTGTGCAGCCTCTGCTTAGTGGGCACCGGCCTGGAAGGCTGTTGGTTGGCTTGTCGCATTTCAGAAATCAGCCTCCCTCAGAGCAAAGAGGACTAGTGTTTCTCTCTGAGGGAGGGAACACTTGGAAGGGGTAGGAACGCTGTTGCAAGTCCTGGTGGCCCTACAAGGACTATCTTCACAACAAACGCCCTTCCCCTGCTGGACCTGGGACCTGGGGCCTGGGCATACCTACCTGTTTAGAGGTGCCTGGTTCCACCATCGGCAGGGAAGCAGGGCAGTGGGGAGGGAGGGTTCTGCTACCGTGGTTTCCCTTATCCAGAGAGAAAGGGAATGGAAAGACTTGGAGAGAGAAAGGGAATGGAAAGACTTGGGGAAGGGGCATTCAGAGCTATCCATGTGCTTCCTGGGCAAGCCACATGGCATTGGCTTTCTCAACTACACGATGGGCACTTGGGAAATTGCCGTGAGGTTCAATTCACTTCAGGTAACAGGAAAGCACGTAACCCAATGCCAAATGCAGAGTGAGGAACACAGACTTTTTCCTTCTTTGTGCATCAGTTTTCTCTCCATTAAATTGATTATTACCAACAAGACAGCTATCACCTGCTCTATTGTCCAGACGGCATCCGAACAAGACTCTTTCCAGACGTTCCGCTAGCACTGACGTGGGAAGGAGAGGTGAGGAGCAGCAACCCAGTCCCTTCCTTTCTTTGGAAAGTCTCTTTGCTGCTCTTGGTGTTTTATAGATTAAGTTCTACGGCGAGGATAACAGTTTCTGGCTATTAAACATCCACGATGGAAGTCTTAAATGTTGACAACCCTTCATATCTAGCTCCTGTTCATTGATCCTGCTCATGATCCTCCACATCTCCTCCTTCTGGGAGAAAACAACAAACAGGCCAACCAGGGGTCCTGCAATGGGCTGACAGGGAGTTTCAGGACTTGATCACAACAAGCAACCTAACCCTTTAGAATGGTAGGGAAGTGTCAGGTGTCCAAGCACCTCCTTCTGATGCCACTGGAGAAATGACCATCATTCAGCAGCTCCTCTCTCCCTAGCAAGGTCCCTGGACCCCTCTTCACTGACCTGTCGAAAGAGGCATTGAAACAAGTAGCCCTCCTGGAGCGAGGCTGATCCTTTTACTTCCATCCCCATTGGGATCAGTACTGACCCTCAAGTACTTTTAGTGTGTTACATGACACTTTCCATCTTCTCTGCTATCTAAAGTCCACTGCTGATGGTGCATCTACAGTGTTTTATTCAGAAACTAAAGGCTTGGTACACGAAATTTGTGCGGGGGGGCGGGGGGGGCCGGGGGAGGCGGCTCAGCCCAGCCTGCACCCTCTCCAATCCAGGACCCCCTCAGGGGATGTCCAACTGCCGATTTAGGCCCAATCCCCAGGGCCTAAACCGGCAGTTGGGGACATCCCTCTCACAATCCTGGACCACTGGCTCCTAACTGCTTACCTGCCTGCCTGCCTGATCGCCCCTAACTGCCCCCACTGCTCGCCTAGTCACCCTCAACTGCCCCCCCCCATTGGCCTGGTTGCCCCCAACTCCCCTCCCCCCCTGCCAACTTGGTCGCCCCATGCAGCTTACTTGTTCAGTTGTTTGGTCCCTCCCTAATCCCCCTGCTATCCTGGTCACCCCACGCAGCCTGTTCAGTTGTCTGTTCGGTTGTTTCAGTTGCAATGGTCAGTTAGGCTTTTATATATATAGATAGGACAGGCTATTGTGACTGAGGGAAGGAGGAAATGAATTTACATTGGGAGTTTTGTTCCCTTTGATGTTCATGGTTATCATAATATTTCTCTTGATCTAAAGTAGAATAACAAAGATTAACTTTTGAAAGTCTGAAATATGTGAACTGTTTCTTTGGAGAAAGTATTCCAAAAAATTAGTAAATACTTCAATACAAAACTAAAATGAGTGTTCATACCTACATCAAAAATAAATTGCTGAATTCATAGGAATGTGAATAGCTAAATTGAATTTGATCCCAACATTATTTCATAAAAGTAAGTGTTTAGCTGTACCTGTTTTTTAATGAAAATTTTTAAAGCAGATTTAATTTATATTGATGAGAGAAATGTCATCAGTAGATATTTAGAAGATAATTTTCCAAAATGTTTTACATGGCTCAGGTGTCATTGAATTATGTCACATACAGTTGGGTTTTGAACAAAATAAAGCAATTATGGTTTATTTCCCTCCTGACCATTAATTTCCTGGCCCTTGATAGGAAAAAAACAACAACAAAAACCTGTATGAGTGGAAAGGAACTACATAACTGTGATTTATTTAAGTAGCCACATTTTATTGCAATATATTTTCAGTAACATTCTATGCAGAGTAAGATGTAGAAATAAAATAGTATATTTGTCCATTGTTACTTTATGCTTACATAAGAATACAATAAAAATAAAGAGCTTTTTGCTTTTTTATAAGGGTGTTTACTTACCATCTCTTCTAAGCAATGATGTTTTTTTATCGCTTTAGAAGAAATCATTTTAGGAGACTAAAGTGTTCTTTGTGGTGATATGGTTTGTGCTTTCTTTTATGCCTGTGAGCCATCTGGAAGCCACATTTGAGTGTTTAATGTCCATGCACTGCCCACAGTTTTGAATGCTTTTGTATCTCTTCATCCATGACCCCAGGTCATTCACTCACGAAAAAGCCACTAGGTTAATTACTGCCTTGGTTTGCACCCACCTCGGCAAAACCAGCTCACAAGAATGACTGGGAAGACTCTCATAAGTGAGGGGACTCCCGGATTCTGTGAAATATGTAGATAATCATAAAATCCTAAACACTGACTACAAACATGAATGTTAGAATATAGCAGTCTGTGACCCACGCAGAACCAGCATTTTAGAGATCACAGTATCAGAACTGCTGGGGATGTTCCTGATCGCTGCTGAAATGGCCATGTGGCTGCTCCTCGCTGCATTTAAACATAAGCCCTCTGGACACAGTTATAGAGGAGATATGGCAAGGTCATTACTAAACATTCAAGGCTGGAAGATTTTGTAAAATGTAGCAGTAAGTTCAAGGTTAAGCTTAAGTTCAAGCTTAGAAGGACTCCGTTCCCATGTTTAGCACAGTGAGGCATAAAAACATCCGGGCAGTTTTAGAGTCATAGCCACGTCCCTTGTTCGAATGTAATGAACCACAGTGGGGTTTTCCCAGGTCCCCTCGGCTAGCAGCCCTCCACTTCATACTCTATTACACATAAAACCGTACTGAATACTACAATAGTTCTAGCATTAGAAGACTCATTGCAAGGACAGGGTACCTGGCAATAGACTATCAAATGGTGTCATCTCAACTACATGTTGGCGAAGCATCAGTTTGGGGGCCTTCATTCCTAATTTGAGAACTACCGGGTGGGGAAGTACTTGGTGAACGGAACAGGCGCTGCAGACTCTGTGACTGGTAAGAACGCCCAGTCCCCGCGAAAAGACAAGCTTATTTTCGGTTCACATCTGAATGAGTCCAAGTCCCTCCATTGTAGACCCGCCGTTCATAAAGGGCACAGAACAGTCGGGTCGATATGGCTGATGCAGGCGAGGCGAGCAGCCTTTGCTCTCTCCCCTGGAGCAGGGAAGGGACCCTTTGGCTGCTCAGGGGTCTTGCTGGCCGCTTCTGTGCTCCGATGTATCAATGGGGGCACATGCAGATGGTAAGGTTGGCCTTTGATTCCTTTCCTCCAGGGCACCTGGATGACGATGGATTGCCGCACGGGTTCTGCACGGTCACCTACTCCTCCACAGACAGATTTGAGGGGAACTTCGTCCACGGAGAAAAGAATGGACGCGGGAAATTCTTCTTCTTTGACGGCAGGTAGCGCTCACGGTTTTGTTTTATTTCATTTGGGGGAGGGCACCAAATCACTTCTTTGAAAGGGTGATTCACATGAAACAACTTCAGTGGATGTTTGGGTAACAGCTTCGAGACAAGGTAATAGTGAGCCCAACATGCATGCAGGCCCTGCTGTGGGGACCAGGGAAGTCACCCGTGGTTATGGAGAAGCCAGCGAGCGTAAGGCTTAGCTGTCATCACTGCCTCCTAGGGTGTGGTGTGCTTGTCCAAGGGATGCTCTGCAGTGCCGGTTCGAGGGCCCACATCTTAAACAAGTTGGTTAGGTGGTCACCCATTTCTTTGATAGATTTCACCTGCTCGTTCGGGTAATGAGTCTCAAGGACGTGACACCGTGGGCTCATTTGTGTCAGGGGCCGGTTGGTGCAGTTGCAGCAGTGACTGACACGCCTTTTTCCAAGTGTTCCGCACACTCCGTGCCTTAGCCGGCTCTCCCAGACCTCAGGGTCCGGTTTCTTGCTATCCTGAGGGAAGATTCAGCCACCTCGTTGGTTCTGCAGCTTCGTCCATTTCTCAGGCTGCTCCTTCCCCTCCTGGGATCGCTCAGGGAAATGGAGAGGTAGACATAGGAGGTGTACAGCTCGGGCCTCACAGTGCTGGGAAGCTTGTGTTGAGATAGCTGGTCTTTATGTGAGGTGCCCGGATGCTGACGTCAGCACCCGTGTTCTCTGTGTTCTGCCTGTAGTTAAAGGGCTCTCACTGCAGCCGTCTGTTCACTGTGCTCTCCCCTCCTGCGTGCGGGCGCTGTGGGGCAGGAGCGGCTCGCCCTCGGGTGAGGGCTGCAGTGACTGTGGGCCTTTCCTCTTTCAAGAGGAGGTGGGGTTGCTGGGGCTCAGCTTTGCAGCGGTGACTTTTAAGCCATGTCAGCTTAGAAACAACGAGTGGCCACGTGGCTTTGCCGAGCACTCAGAGGAACGAGAGGCACAAAGGGCTGGGTCTTGCAGAAATGGGTTTTGCTAACACCGTCGTGGGGTTCCACCGGACATGGCCCCACTCCCTCGGCGCCTGGCACTGGTGACAGCCTGCAGCTCCTCGCCCTTGGAGTTCCTCAGGAAGGGAGATGTCCAGGCTGGCCACTGAAGGGCGAGCACAGGGACCGGCTTGTGACCCAGAATCCCTTTTCCATAGATGGAGCAGGTGGCTTTTGAAGATATTAACAGTTCCTCGGGCTGTCAATTATCTGAATTAAGGAGGGTGAGAAAAGCAATAAAAACCCATCTTAGAGCTCTTGTGACATGTTACTTTATTTATTTTAAATATGTTTTACTGATTTTTTACAGAGAGTAAGGGAGAGGGATAGAGAGCTAGAAACATCGATGAGAGACAAACATCAATCAGCTGCCTCCTGCACACCTCTTACCAGGGACGTGCCCGCAGCCAATATACGTGCCCTTGACCAGAATCGAACCTGGCATACACACACGCGCGCGCGCACACACACACACACACACACACACACACACACACACACCCCTCTCCCTCCCTCCTCCCCCCAGCGAACCCAACGCTCTATCCACTGAGCCAAACCGGTTTCTGCATGACATATTAATTTAATTAGTCATTCCAAACTTCTCTTTCCCATTACCCCAGACCCCACCCCACCTTATTTATTTATTTGTTTATTTATTTATTTATTTATTTATTTATTTATTTATTTTAGCAGAGCTTTGCTTACAGACTACCATGTTAAATGGGTGGAGAGTTTGCTCGCTTGCTTTTCCTCTGCTTTGAGTCCCTGGTGGCTACGTGAGCCCTTGGTGGACTCTTTTAAGACTTGGAATCAGTGCTTTCTTCTCCCAGGACCCCGCCCCCCGCCAGAGGGACACCTTTCCTGTTCCTCCTTTTCCTATTTCCATAGCCGTGCACTCACTGCTGCCTTCTGGAAAGTATCTCTTTACCTCCTGCTGCAGTTGTTGTTTGATCCATTTCACAAATGTAAGTTATAGAAATGTCCTGCTTCGCCCACAGGACAGCAGTTTCTTTTAGGGCAGAATCTTGTCTGTTTCCTCTTCTGGGCTTCAAAGCACTTTCCCTTAATTTAATACTTAAAAAAATTCTTGCTGAATGAGCGTGGGAGCTGAGTGAAAGTAAAAGTTACCCAGAACACACACACACTCACTCACACACTCACTCATGCTTTAAATCTGGTAGTTTGATAAGCAGAGTTGACTGACTCCAGGAAAACACAGTCCATCAGGTTTGGTTGGTTGTTCATGATAGCTTGGTTGGATTTAGGGTTGGTTACTGGGTTGTTTCACAGACTAGGCTGAGCTTCCAAACCAGTGTGCCCACAATGAGCCGCATGTTAGTTAGTTCCAAAGTATTAGTCTCTCTATCGATACTTTGGGACCCTGAGTGGGGCCCGAGACTCCCTGAGCACCTCCCTTCCTCTGTCACAAAAGTCACCACTGTTGGCAGAAATTTCAAGCTAGTCACTTTTTTTTTTTTTTTAATCACAAAGTATAGAGACAGATTTAGATGGTAACTTTCTAATGTTACGTAAAACCTGAACTCAGGTGTGTGATTTTTTTTTTTTAAACCAACTTATTGAGGTATGATTCACATGCAGAAAACTGTATGTATTTAATGTCTACAACTTGGTGAGTTTGAAGTTAAACATATGTCCATGAAACCATCCCCATAATCGGTGCCATTAGCTGGATGTGGCTCTGGCTTGTGTAATATTAGGGAATCGTGTGTTGTTTTCAGCCTGACTTCGAGACGGAGATGAGTTAATTCATTCCATCTTATTATTGTTATGTTATTGTTGCTTCCCCTTCCCTGCCAATTAGATTTCCAAGTATTATTTCTTGTTCCTGACGTTACTGTCCTGTGCCCATCCTGTTCTGAAGTTGATTTGCTGCATTAATGTCTCTGGCTAAGAGGACTCCTTGTAGTTTATCAATTGGCCAGGTAACCCGGTCGAGGCTGCCCACCCGCTGAGCCACCGGGAAAGGCTGATGGGTTCCAGGGGACAGATCCATGCAGGACTTCTTGTGTTGGCTTTTGAGAAAGTGCTTGGTCACATTGCAGAGAAACTGGAGTAGGAACGGACTGCTGAAGTCATGTCCTCCAGCCTCCCACACAAGGAAGAAAAAGTCCTTCGTTCCTGACAGTCATCCAGCTTTTGTTGGCACCAGACGCAACAAATACATTCATCTGTGTCCTAATAAACAGTCTGATGAAGGCAAACATTTTTGTGACACACGAGGAGAAAGTGGGTGGAGAAGATGGGTAACTTTGAATACCTGTCACTCACTCGCTTGCCTTGCTAACAATCTGTGCAGTTGGTTTTATAATATGATTTCACCTATGGAGAACCTAAGGCATGTAGTAGGTAGCTAACTTGCCCAAGGTCCCCATTAGGAAGGGTTGGAGGTGCCAGTCAATCCAAGGTGAGCTCTGGTGCAGAGCCACCTCCTTCTCATTACATCAGCACCCTCCTCTAACCAGAGCAAGGACACTCCTCTGATCCTGATGGCCTCTCTTCCACGCTTCAACATTACTGGAGGTCGCTCATCAGCTATAATTTTTCAAAGGATCCTGGGGTGAAGTCAGTGACGTTCCTGCAGGTCGGAGCCTAGCAATTGGATGGGAGGTTACTCTGAGGAGCAGCTCAGAGGAGCCCTGTTCTAGCGAGCTGGCCTCTTCCTCGTTGATAGAATGGGGATAGTGACACCTACTGCTCAGAGCTGTTGTGAAGACTGGAGAGAAAACCTGCCAGGACTTAGTAGATGGGAGGGCAGCGGGTAGGCACTCACCGGAAAGTATGGGTTTCTTGTTTCTGTTGCCGTGTATCTGCATGTTCCCAGCTTTGTGGAGATCCAATGGACACAACACATGTAAGTTTAAGGTGTACAGTGTGATGATTTGATACACCCATATATTGAGAAACTAGAGGCGCGGTGCACAAAATTGGGGTGTGGGGGTGGTCCCTCAGCTTAGCCAATGCCTTCTCACAATCCAGGACTCCTCGGGATTTCCGATTGCTGATTTACATGCCTAAACCGGCAGTCGGACATACCTCTCCCAATCCGGGAAGCTGCAGGCACCAGTGACCATACTTTTCATACAGGTGAAAGGCATCTTGCTGTTGTAAGGGCAGCTACATTTTTTTGCCCTGATTATAAAAAGTAGTACATAACATGATCCTTCTGAGGTACTATTACCATTTTCCTCTTCTTATGGGTGGAAAAACTGAAGTAGAGAGAAGTTAAATAATTGGCTTCGTCACACAGTTGTAAGTGTCAGAATCAGGCCTGACCACAAAATGTGCAAGCCAGAGTCCATGCATGTCATCGCTGCATCATCCTGTTTTTTCAGTGTTAGAGTAGCCTTGCCAATTTTAATTTTTAAATCTAAGATACCGTTCCCAATATTTAGGGTAGGGTCCCTGGCCTGGCCAGTGATCAGGGCTGAACTGTGCATAATGCCCCCAAGGCATTTTATATTTTATCCTTATTGTTGTTACTGTTATTAATAGCCGGTAGCAATGACTAGCAGAGTTTTCTTACGATTTGTTTTTCGAGAGCAAAACTGAATCGTCTCTCGAATATTTCAATGTCATCTTGAGCCTTTTTTAAGAATCAGATCCTACAGCCAAGACCGGTTTGGCTCAATGGATAGAGCGTCGGCTTGGGGACTGAAGGGTCCCGGGTTCGATTCCGGTCAAGGGCATGTACCTTGGTTGCGGGCATATCCCCAGTAGGGGGTGTGCAAGAGGCAGCTGATCGATGACTCTCTCTCATCGATGTTTCTAACTCTCTATCTCTCTCCCTTCCTCTCTGTACAAAATCAATAAAAATATATTTTAAAAAAATAAAAAAAATAAAACTATCTGTATATTAAAAAAAAAAAAAAAAAAGAATCAGATCCTACAGACTCATAGATCTTCCATTGAAGGCCATCGGCACAATACACGAGGGGAGCATGGTGGCGCTCCCTTCAGCTGTTGCTCACTCCCTGGAGGAGGCTGGGGCTTCTGGTCAACAGGGTCCCTGCAGATGGTCAGGGTTTGTGGGTTTGTTGTTGACCTTCTTCTTCTTCACTTAGTTTTAAATATTCTAAGAGATCATATACATTGGCATATAAAACAATTCCTAAGACAATGCTTTTTAGAAGAATCACAGTTTAATTTGGTTATGGCTGGGAAATGAAAGTGGAATTATGATTCAATTTAAATTTCCCTCTTGGTTCTCATATGGCTATGCTGCCTGGGGAAGGAAGGGAGCTCACTGGGGGAAGAGAACAGGGGTAATGTCTCATGTGGTAGAAAAACCAGTTAGACCACAAAACCATAAAGGATAGGCCAACACTGTTATGTGATCTACAACCACGTTTGTGTATTCAGATATTAAAGAGGATTTTAAAATGAATGCAGTAATATTTGACTGAAATGCAAATGTGTCCGTTTAGGTAAAAGGGAATGTGACCACACTTTTTTTTTTCTGACTGTGTCCTCCGGGATTTTAAGAGTTTGGTCACATAGGTTTTACGGGGAGAAGCAAGGAAAGCACGGTTTGGAAGCAAAGATGCCAGTACACAAACTAGAGTGAGCAAGGGTTCGAGAGCAGGCGTCAGCACACTTTTCCTGTACAGGGCGAGACCGTCCATATCTTAGGTTTCTTGGGCCACCAACAGTCTCTGTTGCAACTCTTCGGCTCTGCTGTTGCAACACGAAAGCAGCCGCAGAGGATCTGGGAAGGAATGTGCGTGGCTGTGTTCCAGCAGAACTGTATTTACAAAAACAGGCAGCCGGCCGTGGCTTGCCAATCTCCTCTGGAGGAGGAAAGAACTGGAAGGAAAGGTTAGCGCCTTCAGCACCCGGCTGAGAGGCTTCTCTTTTATTTCCTACGTAAGGGAGGGTTTCAGAGCCCTGTCGTTTTCATGCTCTGGAGTGCCTGGCGCAGAAACGTGCCCCTTTTGTCTTCAGATGCCATCCAAGCCGCCATAAATATTTGCCAAGGAAGTGAAGCTGTCTCCTCGGGCAGGTGCTGAAACTCGTGCGGTTTGGTGTTGCTCTCTCCACTGACTCGGAATCGGCATGTGGGCTGCTTATGTCACTTGGGCTGGGAGGAAATAGCAGAACATTTTTAAGAATCTGGTCAATCTGGTTGCCAGGTTTAGCCATAAAAATCCAGGGTAGCCAGTGAAAGTGGCATTTCAGATAAACAACATATCGGAGTGTTGCCATGTCCCATTCAATATTTGGGACATACTACGTTTACTAAAAATGTACTTGTTGTTTATCTAAAATTCAAACATAACTGAGCATCCTAAAATTTACTCCAGCAAGTCTAAGGATGAAGATCAAGGATGAAAGAGTTTTCTGCAATATTTATTGCATCATTATGTCAGTTGATTAATTATCCTTCACCAAGGTTGTATGGGTTTTTTTAAATTGTGGGGAGTCTAATGACAGTCAAATCTCATTAATTCCAACTTTGCTGATTTAGAATTTTTGATGGCTTACACAAGGGTTCTGCTAAAGTGCACCCATTTGTCATTCATAGTACAAACAAACCCGAGAGAGAACTATTTATCTCCTTGGGAGACTACAGATAGTGAAATTGCAATGTAATCAGAGGCCATTGTTATTTGGACTGTACTTTTCATTTAATAATTACAGATCATTCTGTCATCTATTACAGCAAGGCAGGACTTTACCAGGCACGTCAGGTGCAGCTGCCCCAGTCCCCACGGCCCCTTGCATCCACCTGTCATGGGTACACAGTCCTTTGGGCTCTCTTGATTCTACAGTCTAACCTCACATACCATTCGCTACTTAGAAAGCACCCTATAAATGGTGGTTGGTTGTATTCATGAGTGAATGCTAATGACAACATGTTACAATAATCAAACTGTCTGTGTTGCTAAATATCTTACAGTTTAAATTTTAAAAATGATTTGAGTTGGTCTCCCCCCTTATTCCGAAGTTCAGATCACAAAGGGATTCTTGGTAAAGTTAGTTTCATTACACACTGGCCTGTGGTAGACTAGCACTGAGAACATACTATTGAAATTCTGAAATTGTCTTATGAGGAGAGAGAGAGAGAGAGAGAGAGAGAGAGAGAGAGAGAGAGAGAGAGCACTTGCAAAGCCATCCTGAGCACCCTTCTGAGCATTCTTCTACTCTCAGACTATGGGTCTCAAACATGAACAGGCTGCTAATGATTTTGGCAAGCTTTAGCCTGCCATTTTCCTTAGTTGCCCCCATTTTCAGTGATCATGAACACACACACACACACACACACACACACACGCATGCATGCACGCACAAATACATTTCTGTATATCTTCCAAAGAGATGAAAGGGAAATGCAACTTCTCATAAAAAGAGAGAGAGGGGGGAGGGGATTCTTTGGATTGGCAGTCGCTGACAAATAATACATTAATAATTTAAAACAAACATGTAGACATTAACACATTCTAAACCACATCTGTAATATTAGAGACCACTACATACAAGCCAACTGCAAGACCCTTGAGTCTACCACTCCTGAGAGAAGTGAGGCCTGAGTGGCTTACACGTGGGCCAGAATGGCTATGGCCAGGCAACTATTGGCATCTGGTCTTGGAGACATACTCGGAGGAGGCCTGTTCTCAGGCTCCACCTGTGGCTTCTTTCTTGTCCATCTCCTCCAGCAGAGAAAAGGGAGTGATAGGAACCAGGAGGCCGGCAATGCAGTCTCCCTCTCTGTTGCTAGACCTTCGCAGTATCTTCCCTAGCAGTACAGCAGCCTTCTGGAGGTTGTGCCGAGTACAGGTCCGTGGTTCTCAGAAGTGATCCTTTCTTTTTGTCCTGAGCAGACACAGAGCATGATCCTTTCTTTTTGGAGAGTTGAGTCACGGCCTGACGATCCCTTTTGTTCTTCTTCTCTCACAGCACCCTGGAGGGGTATTACGTGGACGATGCCCTGCAGGGCCAGGGCATTTACACCTACGAGGACGGGGGAGTTCTCCAGGGCACCTATGTGGACGGAGAGCTCAATGGTCTGGCCCAGGAGTACGACACAGACGGGAGGCTGATCTTCAAGGGACAGTATAAGGATAACATTCGGCACGGCGTGTGCTGGATATATTACCCAGTAAGCCCTGCGACTGCTCATTTTGCTGGAAAGTAGCATGCTTTAAGACAAAGCTTTGTCTCTTCACAATGAAGAGTCAAATGCATTCTCTTCGTCAGAAAATGTGGAGCTGTGAAACTTGAGAACGAAGCCAGGAGTGTGGGAGCTATGTCCTCTCATTGTCACTCCCTCCGACTGAGGTTGTTGGCCCTTCCATCTACTAGGAATTCCTTTTCAGCATTGTTTTTGGAAAAGAGTGATTAATCATGACTAAAGCAAGTTGAGACAAATTGGTTGCGTTATGTTATGAATAAAGATGAAACTATTATTTCTTAAAATATTTCTTTGATATAGTATAGAAAGAGATGGTGGAATATTTCGCTGTTGCATTTAATTTTATTCCATTGCTCAGATGTCAGAACTAAGCCAGCCATTCCTCATCTTTTTGGAGTTTACTAACGCAAAAAGATGTGGCAAATCTCTGGTTGGGAATGAATACTCTTATCTGTTGTTTGCATTTCAAATATCCCATCTGTTGTTGTTGAATTTCCAGAAAATTGTTCAGAAAATAGACCTTAGAAAATATTTTACCTAATGTTTTATTTTGTCCAGAGCTTCAGTCAAAATACATTTTTTTCTTACTCTGAACTCTATCTTCTTATGATTAAAAAGTATTCATACAAGTTGTCTGTTACATGTATAAGAAGAAAAGTAGTCCCAGTAAAGCTACTTACAGATTTTTGTTCTTAAAATAGAAGTTATGTTCTAGAAACGGGGCATAAGGATAGAACATGAAAAAAAAACTATAATTACTGAAGCCTTTACACACTATCTTGGTGGGACCTGCAATAGGTCAGAAGTCCTTTAGCTCCTGCCTGGAAGCGGCAGGAAGAGGGTCGGGTAGAGAGACACACTGTCCCGCTTCAGAAGTAGTTAGAGGGGGTATCTTGCTGCCGATGTGACAAGGATTTTTGAAGCCGGAAAAGTGGGCCTCCCTTCCCTGTGTGTGAATGGGTACCAGGAAGACGCAAACTATGGATTAGCAGGTTCTCCTGCTCCCTGTCGTTTTACTTGTGACTGTGATCAGTTAAGTCCCTGGGGACATCCAAATTGCACTAAGTGAATAGGCCTACCTTACTCCACGCAGTTGCATTTTGAAACCTAAGGGTGCAGCTACGTTTTAGCCTTATCCTCTTATTAAATGCCAAGAGAAGACTCTGCCTTTGCAAGGAAGCTCTGGAGAGTGACGAGCTTGCAAACGAACTTTTGGTTGACAACACTTTCTCTCTCTCTGGTGTCGGTTGGCAGTGGAGGGTGCTAATCCCATCCTTGGGCTCTAAGAAATAGGTGTAAGTGGCAGGGATGTGGGCTTTGTTATGGCAGCGTGGGATTGGCGATGAGGTATGGGCTTCTGCCTTACCCTCTGAACTGGGCACGTGGATCAGCCGCAGACAGAGCAGCTAGGAAGCTGTAGGTTTCCCTTGGGGAGCGGGGCCTGCCTGGGGCACTTTGCCCAGGGGAGGAGGGCTTGCTGCTGTTAACCCCTCACCCAGCAGTGATGTGGGTGTCCAAGGGTGTCAGAGGGGAGGGGTTGAGCAACCCTCCCTGCCACAGCAGAGGAGAAAGTTCTGGTGACACAGAGTCCAAGCAGGAGCAAGGGGAGGAGAAAACAATGATTCTCCCTGCAGTATTTATAAGCTCACGCTAAGGACAGTTTCTTTCTTTCAAAATTTTACCTTGGAACAGTAATGCAGGGTTTTTAATTAAAAATTCATAACCCCTTTAGGAAATAAAAATTGCTGCTTTATCATTCCAGGGGAAAAATCACTTGCCTCCAAAACCAGATGCTTAAAGCATTTAAGAGGGGGGAAAAAAATAGTGAGACCCTCGCAAGACAGAATAAATAGCAATGTTGGCTTTTATTCATTTCGGCCCATTGGAAGCACAAACACCCTAACCCCCGTCAGCTCAGTCATCGCTGAAAGCCTGAAGACAGGTTTTGCCAGAAGTACCATTCTCGTTATGCTGGGTTGTTAAGAAGTGACTCAGGAGGAGAAAGAGCAATGCTATATCCCTGATGCACCTTCTATCCGGGACAAACGCTTCCAAGCACTGTTCTCTGTATGGAAGTGCTGGGTTCGTTTTTTTTAAAATTCATAACCTTTTTTCTCCAAAGAGCAATTAGACGTCAGGGAACCGTACACCATGTACCCGCCACTACTTCCTCCCTCTGGCTCTCAGGAAGAGCAGCATGGGGGTCACGCAGAAGTCACCCTACATCACTGAGCCCTGGAACCTCCGCCTTGGGGACATCACCCATATTCTGGCATTACTGTTGTTATATCAAACCCACCAAGGTCTTAGATTTTCAAAGTCACACCATCAGGACCTTCTGAGTGGCCAAAACATAAATTAAATAAAAATCTCTTGCACCTTTCGATTATTTTTTTAGATTTTTGGGGGCATCCCAGTTCAACTCTAAAAGTATTTATGGATCGCCTACTGTGTCCCTGGCACTTCCCAGGATGTAGAATTCTGACAGCCTCTGCCCTAAAACATTTAATGACCCTTAAGAAGGGAGTAAGTGGCAGTTAAAGAGGACACGCAGCTGGCTGCTCTCGGAGAAGGAGGCCCACGGGAGCCGTAAATAGAGAAGAATGGGGGGAAGACAGTGATGGGGAAGCGAGTGCAATTCCGTTGATCTTTTTTCACTGTTTCTTCTAACTCCAAAAGTTATCCAGAAGTCCCTTGTCTCTTAGAAAATGCAGCCAGCTCTTCACTCATGCACACTAAATTAATTCTTAAGTACATTTGAACTAAAGATGTTCTTAATTGACCAGAAATATCTGAGACTCAACACTGAGGAGATGGTATGGACAGTAGGTAAGACTCACCACATCTGATCATGGCCCCAAGCAGCACAGAGTTCTATGTCCTTTTATTGCTTGTCACTAATATTGCAAACAGGACATATTTGGTTCTTAGACCAAGATGGAGTATCCGTAACTTGTCCCGGATCATCAGGTGCCTCAGCCTCTGCCGCTCTGACTCGGATTTGTGCTGTTTGTCCTCTGGGGCTGGATGTGTTTCTCACTCCCGTGAAGAGCTCTGAGTCCTCAGTCTGCTAGGGTCCATATTCGCGCTCTTCACCGTGGGAGTGCCCAAGAGAAATTTCCTGAAATGCGTGTCACCTGCATCAATACTCTATGTAATTTTTCTGGATTTTGGTTTCTCCCGTCAGGATGGAGGCAGCCTGGTAGGGGAGGTAAACGAAGACGGGGAGATGACTGGAGAGAAGATAGCCTATGTGTACCCGGACGAGAGGACCGCTCTGTACGGGAAGTTCGTTGATGGGGAGATGCTGGAAGGAAAACTGGCTACCCTGGTGTCTACGGAGGACGGCAGGCCGCACTTTGACCTCATGCCTGGAAGTAAGTTGAATGGGCCCCACGTGGGCTGCTCTACTGCCAGAGCAGGTGGTTCGGGCGGGTTTGAGAGAAGTTTGTTTCTTTGTCTGGTCCCCTCAAACGGTGTATCTCCAATCCACGTTAAGTTATAAGAAGAAAAAAGCAGACAAGATAATAAATGTGGGCATTAGTAGGCCTCAGTAATTGTTAGGTATTTATGATCTGAAGAGACTCTCTGTCTAAAGGAAGGTTGTCAAACATAGAAATTCTAGCATTTTGCATTGAGGTCCAACTTGGGTTGTCTTAAATGTATCCTTTTTTAATCTTTGATTTTATTTTAAGTTAAAAATTAAGGCCATCTGAATGCAATTGGGGGAGGGAGGCGTCTGGATTGGGTCTTGGTACAGAAAAAGGACATTAGTGGAAAAACTGGTCAAATATGAATAAAGCCTGGAGTTTAGTTAATAATAATGTAGCTATGTTGGAGTTTTAATGTGGACAAATTTGTGCAGGGTAACATTAAAAAAAAAAAAAAAAAAAAAAAAAACAAAAAACACTAACATCAGGCCAAAACTGGTTTGGCTCAGGGGATAGAGCATTAGCCTGCGGACTGGGGGGGTCCCGGGTTCGATTCTGGTCAAGGGCATGTGCCTTGGTTACGGGCACATCGCAGGTGGGGGGTGTGCAGGAGGCAGCTGATCAATGTTTCTCTCTCATCGATGTTTCTGACTTTCTATCCCTCTTTCTTCCTCTCTGTAAATAAAAATTTAAAAAATAATTAACATTAAGAGAAACAGTGAAGGGCATTGGGAACTCGCTGTGCTATATCTGCAACTTTTCTGTACATTTAAATCATTCCAAAATCAAAAACACTTTTAAGTGAAACAGAAGTCTTTAGACTTTAGATTCTAATATCTGCTCTTCACATATGTTCTGAAAGGAGACAGCATCCTAATGTTTAAAAATGAGGAGACTTGGGCAAGAGGATCTCACCCAATTGGTGATGCAAATTTTAAAACCTCAGAAGTGGAAGCATTTTTAGTGGCAAGATCCTTGAACTTAAGAGTCACTTTATTTGCCAAGAGGGTAAAGGGGGTCAATTATATGGTGATAGAAGGAGACTAGACTTTGGTTCATGAGTGTAGTCCTGCAACTTACATAAAGTTATTGAACAATGTTATCCCAATAAATTTAATTTAAAATTTTTATAAAATAATAAATAATGACAATGGGGAAATGTCATCTAATTTGAGTCTTAGCTCCAACATTTACTGTATTATATTCTTGGGGAAGTTATTTGCATTTGTCTTTTCAGAACCTGATTCTTCATTATAAAATGCAGATCTTGGCACCTACCATAACACATCATAATGAAAGGTCTTGTTATTACATTCTTCTTGGTATTAGTAAGAAACAGATTTTGGGAAGCAAGAGTGATCATTCTCAGGGGAATGATGGTTTTTCTTAGAACTCGTGGTTGCAAGTAACAAACACCCTCTTCAAACTAACTTAAGGCCAAAAAAAGGAGGAGGGGTGGGAGAAGGAAGGAAAGAAAGGGGGGACAGAAAGGGAGGTGGGGGGAGGAGGAAGAGGGAGGGGAGGAGCGTAGTGTTTGCTGGCAAGGTCTGCAGGCCTCAGCTCTTTAAAGGACTGTTGAACAGTTTGGGTATCAGGAGGGTCAGGATCAGGGCTGCTTTGCACAGGTCTCTGATGTTGTGTTCTGCCACTGTGTTTCTCTTCACTGCCTCATTCAGCTACCTTTGCTGAACTGCTGACTAGCCCATAGGTCTTGGATCTTGTCTTACAGGGTCTAGTGGCCACCTGGCCCAGCAGTTGGGGGAGGACAAGTTAAATGGGATGCACATCTCTCACCTGAAACTTCTGGTCTGCCTCCCCGCTGACCTCACTGCCATCCCTTTCCTCTTTAGGTTTCTGTAACCACTGACTGCTTCTGGGGCTCCACGAGGTTCTTGCTGATTTCCTCATTATGCCCCTGCCTGGAACTTCTCTCTCCATCTCTTCTCCTCTGCACGTAGGAATCCCTGTCCCTGGCTATTTCCTGTTCGAGCTTTAAGTCTTGGCTCATTTCTTAGAATTAATGTTTGTCAAGTGAATGAATGGCTTAGTCAGAGGTCCTAGTGTGAACTATGGAGGAAAGTAGGAACAGTAAAGGATGCCTTTGTCTGCCTGGAGCATCAACCTGCCTAGGGGAGCGGAGGAAGGGATGGCCAGGGTTGGAAAAGGTGGCATCCTGTCCTTGAAGCGGGAAGAGATGTTACTCCGGTCTGTATCAGCACAGCCCCTAACACTGTGTTTCATATGTGGTTGCGCTTGGTCCGATTGTGATGAAAGTGTTAGTCCAAGGAAAGGAAATGGAAATTCATGGGAGGATATTTGCACATGGAACACATATGCCACAGAAAAGTGGTTGGGTTTTTTGTTGTTTTTTATTTTTATTTTTTTTAATATATTTTATTGATTTTTTTACAGAGAGGAAGAGAGAGAGGGAGAGAGAGCTAGAAACGTTGATGAGAGAGAAACATCCACCAGCTGCCTTCTGCACACCCCCCACTGAGGAATGTGCCCGCAACCAATGTACATGCCCTTGACCAGAATCGAACCTGGGACCTTTCAGTCCAAAGACTGATGCTCTATCTACTGAGCCAAACCGGTTTCAGGTTGTTGTTGTTTTTTTAAAACTAACTTCCTTTAACGGAGTATGTGCTGGTCCGTTACCAGCACGCTCACAGATGTGTGCTCTCAGATACCTGCCTCAACCTTCCCCTGCCCTGCTTTTCCCACAGGGGTCTGCCCCTCGCAGGCTGCATTTCCCAGGCCCCTGTGCCTCTGGCTTCTGTCTGGGTTTGGCTGCAGAGTCATCGGCTGGGGACACAAGAGGGAAGGGAGCAGGAGGAAGCCCCCTCTTTCCAGCAGAGCCTCCAGCAGTGTCCTGCCTCCTGGCTCCATCTCTCACCAGGAAGGTCCCCAGGGTTCTAGCTTCCTTGGGTTCTAGCTCCAGAAGCCCCAGCTCTAGAGCTCCAGGAAGCCCAGCTCTGCGCTCGCTCCTCTGCCTTAGTGTTGTGGCTTCCTGCTCTCGGCAGTTTCTGAGCTCCACACTGCCCTGTCGGGCTTCTCGGCTCTTCCATCCTCCGTGTAACCATTTCCCTGAATTCATCCCTTTCTTCGAAATATGCAAGCAGTCTGCTTCCTGGTTAGACATTGACTGACTGGATTGTTTTCTAACTTTTAGCTTGAGACGTTAATTTGGGTTTTGATTGTATTTAACACACACACACACACACAGAAAGCGGACCTGATGACCACAGGGAACTACTAAAGAACTGTCTAATGGAATTATTTGTGATGCCTTAGTGCCTAACATAATTGACTTTGCAGGAGCAAGGCCTCTTGTTCCAAAACTTGTTTCCTTCCTCATTAGCCTTTGGAGCATCATCTGTCTTCGCTGGGCTCCGGGAGGATCCTCTGAGGCTAATCCTTCGCAGGGAGCCAATGTTAATTCTAGGACCATAGTTTCTGGGATAAATTACTAATTGGCTTCTGAACCACTTTAATAGAAGTAGGATGACTTTGTAAATTCTTCTTAATTCTGCTCTTAATTCTGTTGAAGCCAAATGTTTATTTTTAGTGAAGGAGGCAATTGCCAGGGCTGGGCGGCTGGATTCTACAGACTGTCTAGTATGAAGCAAACCACAGGAAATTTTTAAAGCCATTATCCAATCTGATCTGACCAGAGAGTTCTCAAAATTTCACAACAAAGCATTTTCTTTATTAAGATATTTTCATTACACAAGTACTTTTTAAACTATTTTAATAAAGAAATTTCAAAAGAAAAAATAGCATTTAAGAGATACCTGTGATGGCTATTTATCCACATCTGAAACTAAAACTTAAGAGCAAATCTTAAAAACTGTCCACTTATGTTGAAGAATGTCATTCTAGTTGGTATAACTTGAATAGCATTTTTTGTTATCTAATTCATTCCAGTCCCATGGATAGAGAGAAATGTTTTCCATGCTTTCCCCTGACTGTACCTGGCCTGAGATTTTTGTTTGCATTTTAGGTTCCGTGTACCACTTCGACAAGTCGACTTCAACTTGCATTTCTACTAATGCTCTTCTTCCAGACCCGTATGAATCAGAGAGGTAATTTTCTCCTTGTGGTTTTAATGGCCCTGTCTGTGGGAGGTGAAATAGCCCTAGTGATGGGAACCCATGATCCTCTGTGGCTCTCTGCTCAGGCCGAGTTCCTGACCAGAAAAATAAAATAAAAAGTTCATATGTTCTGAGGAAGAGTGTTTTATTCTCATTCGGAATCTGTCCCTGTAAGAGATGTCTCTGCCCATAAAGCCCAGAACAGCCCCGGTGTCTGTCCTGGAATGAAGCCTCTCCATAGAGAGGCGCTTGGGCCCCATAGCCAGCCCTGCTCTGCCCAGGTGTCCCCTTTCTCCCGGCTCTGGTGTCACCGTTTGTGCTGCAGCCTCATGCTGGCCCCTCAGAGAGCATTTCACACTCTTTAAAGCTTAGCTTGGCCCAGGACCAGGTGCCTTCTTTTCTACTCAGCCCAGCTGAGAGGGTGTGGAACACAACACAATTTATTCACTTAGGGAGGACAGGAGCAAAACCAAGAAAATGTAAGAAGCATAAAAGCATTCCAGCCTATAAATTACAGGTGTCTAGTCTATAAGCCCACTCGCAGAGTGTGAAGTCCTGCTCCATTTCCTGTCTTGTCTAAACTCAGTTTCTAATTCTTGGTATGGCTTCCGGTGCCCCGCTTGGGGTGTGTACTCCCTAAGCAACTGGCCGGTTGATGAGTAAGAGCGCCCTCTGCAGGTGGTTCTCTCTTGGCCTCCCTTTTTGTAAACCTGGCTTACAAAGCATGTTTCCATTCCGTTTCTATCTATTCTGTTCCCATCTCTCAGATATAGGCCTTTTCCCTGGTTTAACTGACAGGGCTGACCCCACAATGCCATAATGAATGAATGATCTCTTTCTTGACATGAGGCTCTGGCCCATTTACAAAGGGAAGGGTTTAGGGGGTGGGCAATGGTATATGTACAAAGATAATAATTTAATTTAAAAAAAATTTAAAAAAACAAAAACAAAGGGAAGGGTTTGGTCTCTTGTTAGTTTGGAAATACAACAGTATATTACCGTATGTATCAGTCTATTGTATTACTGTCATTGTGATGATGCCGCCTACTGATATCCTCAAAACTATCAATGGTTTATGGATGTAAACCTTCTATTTTGCACTCATGGATCTGGAGGTTGGCTGAGCTTCAGCCACTCTTGACTGGGTTCAGCTCATCTCAGACGGACTAGGCTGGACTCCAGGCTTCCAACTGGGCTCAGGTCTGTTTCACGTGTCTGCATTCCAAGACTCAGGCTGGAGGAGCCGCAGCCCCCTGGCCATCTTCTCCCTGAGAAGACAATGGAAACTCCCGAAGAGGCTGGCAGGAACTTGCCCTGTTCCCTCACACCTGAGGCCTGGCGTGCAGTCACTTCCGCCCACGTTCCTGCAGAAAGCAGGTCACGGCCGAGCCGTGGGTAGATTTTATTAACTGTTTGTCATGCTTCCATATAAAACATTCATCCAGGGACTTAATTAAAAGTCTTTCCCTCCTATTTAGCTCTGACAAACTTGGGTATAGCTTTAATTAGCCTAGAAAAATGTTTTGTTTTGTGTGGGGGGGTTTTTTTGTCCAGGGAGAGAGTGAAAATTGACCTTAACTATTAATAAAAACATTTTTTTAATTTTTAAACTTATATCAAGCACTGAGTTGTTTTATGAATATATCACAACAACCCTCTTATCAGAGAGCAAATTTTAAGCACCATTCTTAAGAGATGATACATAAGTACCAGTTCTTCAGTTTCCAAAGCCAGAATATTGTGGTTTAACTTTTCCTTTCTTCCTTCCTCATTGGATTATTATGAATTGATGTCCTGGATTCAGTAGCCATATGATATTCTGGTGGCTGATGTAAGGAGTCCATCAAAGACATATCAAACTTAAAGAATCATTATTTGCCTCTTTTTTGCTCTTTAGGGTTTATGTTGCCGAATCTCTCATTTCCAGCGCTGGAGAAGGACTGTTTTCAAAGGTCGCAGTGGGACCTAACACTGTTATGTCTTTTTATAATGGAGTCCGCATTACACACCAGGAGGTGAGTGAGGTACAAGTGCAAAATCAACTTGATTGGTTCAAATGCTTTGTTTTGAACACCGTTAATTTTTTCATTAATTCCTTTAACTGTAGTCTTCACTAGAAATACAAAGGAACAAACAGGCCTTTTTGTAAAATTGATTAGATATTATCTTAATAGCAATCTTTGGACTGCTGTAGCAAAAATACAGTAGACTGGGTGGCTTATCAACAACATACATTTATTTCTCAAGAGTTCTGGAGGCTCCAGAGTCCAAGATCAAGGTGTGAGCCCATCTCTGTGGCGAGCCGGCACAACCATGGCCTACTCAGCCCCAGGGCCTGCCAGCTCAGCCAGGTTCAGTGAGCCTGAGTCGGGGCAGTGAAGGATCAAGAAAAGACAGACAAGAGAAGGAAAGCTGGGTTCTTGGTGAGATGCTGTCCTCTCTTCCAGAGGCCTCTCTGATGAAGAACTAGCAACAGCACCACAGACTATAAGCCGTGTCTTTATTTTATAACCAGATTCCACAAAGCAAAATAAGGGCGTGGTCAGGATGTTTACAACATTCTCGTGGATTTCGATCCTATTCAACTACATACACCTGAATGCTATCAAGCCCACATCACTCAGACACATGGGGCCACAAGTTTGGACCGTAGGTTCAAGCTTACAACAACAGCTGTTGGCTATCATTGTGCTGGGAGGGCTCTGCCCTCCAATCTGGGACTTGCACGTGGCCATGAGAGGACTGTGCCCTCTCATCAGTCCGAGGCTTGAATCTGTCCAAACACTGTGGCCGCTCTCCACACACTTCCTGGTTCCTAGAAGGCCCTTTTTTTCTGTAACCTCACATGGCAGGAAGGATGATGGAGCTCTCTGAGGTCTTGTATAAGGACCCCAATCCCATTCATGAAGGCTCAGCCTGCCCTCATGACCTAATTACCTCCTAATACCATCACGCTGGGGATTAGGCTTCATTGAATTTGGGGGGACAACACAAACTTTCAGACACAGCAGATATTTTCTTCCTTATATTGAGCCTTAAAGTTATTTTTTTTTTAATTCCACAACTATTTTATAGAAAGTGGAATGCGTCAATAAGATAGTAATTGCTTCGACCTGGACTATATATACCCAGTCTCTGAAAAGTTGCGGTCCGCTTGGACTCTGTCAGAATCTAATTTCTGACCTTGGGCAGGGTGCTTGTAAGAGGACCCTCTACTTCTGTTTGTGCAGAAGCCGTACAGTCGCCTACATCTAGCCAGGAAGGGCCCTACTGCCCCCGCCCCAAAAAAATTTTAAAAATAAAAAGTTAAAAAGTTGAATCACCTCCTTTAAGACACAATCTTTGATATATTTCCCAGATTTCATATTGCTTGTTCTTATTTCTTCCCTTTACAATTAACTTCCTTAAGTATCTCCCTAAAGACAAAAGGTGTAATGCTCTTAGCACAGCCGGCACTCTACACCCTGACTCGTATTAAGCGTATGGGCCTTAAGCTCTTATGGAGGAGAGGTGCCGCTTTGAAAGAAGGCTTCAAGTGGCTCCGACTCTGCTTTGTTTGGGCTACTTAAAAAAACACATGGATGTGTAAAAAACGTGAGTTAGATGCTCGTGGGCTTCTGAGGTAATAATAGGTTTCAGCATGACGTGAAAAAATAAACAACCTTGGAACACCTGGTCATATTCGTGTGTCTTTGTAAGGGACTTTCCATCCTTCTTTTCATAGAAGATTAGGAAAAAGGATAAGTAATATGCTTTTTCCTTATCTTCCCCGGTGATAGCCGGTGATAGCCACCTATGCCTTCTGCACTATCAGCAGCAGAGCAATGCCTTAGGCCAGGGGTCGGCAAACATACAGCACTTTGGCCCCTTGAGTGTACTAACGCCACTTCTTCAAAATAGACTCGCCCAGGCCAAAAACTGCGCATGGACCACGAAGTTTCAATCCCACTGTCCGTGCGCGCCCGCACGACGTGGTATTTTGTGGAAGAGCCACACTCCATGGGCCAAAGAGCCACATGTGGCTCACGAGCCGCGGTTTGCCGACCACTGCCTTAGGCTCTTTTCAGGTCCCTGGCACTCCAACCAGGAAGTTTCACGGCAAGGGAGTCCCTATCTCTGACCTCCTCGGAACGTTGGGGAGAAAGTCCTCTCTAAGGCTCGCTCACGTGGTGTTTGCAGGTCGACAGCAGGGACTGGGCCCTCAATGGGAACACCCTCTCCCTCGATGAAGAGACGGTCATCGACGTGCCTGAGCCCTACAACCACGTGTCCAAGTACTGTGCCTCCCTGGGACACAAGGCAAACCACTCCTTCACGCCAAACTGCATCTACGACATGTGAGTATGACACCCGGCTGCTGGTGCTCTGGGCCTCGGGCCTTGAGACAGGGAGGGGGAAGCATGTCAAAGGTGTGCCCAGCCCCAGAGCAGACTGCGCCCTCAGGATACCCGAGGGTTCCCTGCCCAGGGCCTCACGGTTCCTACTTGAAACTCAAAATCTAGACAACGTTGCCCTTTGGCCTGGGCTGGCAAAGAAATGGAAAGTGCTTTGAAGAGGAGGAAGGCTACCGAAATACTGTATTTATTATAGTAGTTGCTGTTTCACGGTTGCTTTTCTGCCCTTCATTGTCTCATTCTGGAAAATTGGGGAGAGTGTATTTTTGAATAGTAAAAAATTGAAATTACTCTGCATAATGGAGAGTAGGGAATGCTTTCATGATGTGAAAGGAAAAAGAAGAGACTCACTCCTAAGCATAGGGCCCACATGAGGTCTAAGTGTAAAAGACCTATAAAATCAGAGTCCCTATTAATTGACAATAAAGAAGAATGAAATATTAACAAATGCTATGACATGGACAAGCCTTGAAAACATTATGCCAAGTGCAAGAAGCCAGTCACGAAAGACCATTTACGGCCAAATTCCTAGAGACCAGATGCAAGTCAGTGGTTGCCCAGAGCTGGGGGCAGTGGGGAGCATTGAGGGGTTGATGCCTACTGAAAATGGGGGAGCTTTTTAAAAATTTGATAGTGGGGATGGGTGCTCCACTAAAAACCACTGCACTGTATACTGTCAATGGGAGAACTTTATGATGTGTGAATTATATCTCAACAAAGCCATTGTTTTTAAATCAGATAATCCTACCTTCCTCTTGGGGGTTGACTCTCTTCTTCCACGGGCTCAGTGAGCCCCTTCCTGGAAACCTCTGTGGGCGGGAGCTTGCTGTTCTCCACAAGGTGGCTGTCCGGACAGACAGATATTCTGAAGTTAGTTTTGGGGCTCTCGGAGTGAATTTCATTTTATTTTTTGAGCCCAAGTACCGTAGGTTTCCCTGTAACATCCAGCTATTGGCCCTTACCGGCTCCCTTCCTCTCTGGTGCACCATATCCATTGCTCCTCCACATGGTAGCCCTGCAAATATCTCAGCAGTTTTATGTTCCCCCTGAATGTTCTCTTCCCGGAGTCAAGGATCTCAGACTGTTCCTTAACGGGAACAGTTGGGATTCTCTGTACCGCGGTCCCTGCTGTCCTTGGCTCCGCGTGAGAATGGCAGCTCTTCCCGGGAGCCAGGGCGCCCTCCGCGCCGCCTTCCCGCTCCGCTGTGGCTTGCAGGCAGTCCCTCGGCCCTCCAGCTGGTTAACATTAGCGGGGTCAGATCACGCGCACTTAACCTGCAGGAAAACTGCCAGGATTTGACCGTCCCTTCTTGCATCCCTGAGACGGCTTCAACATCGTCTGGCTGGGGCTTGCTTTCCTTGGCAGTCAGCAACAAGCACTGGAGCTACAGCTTCTTCCTAAAGGGCAGAGAGAAACGGCGACGTGTGTGTCATGTGAAATGAAACTGACACTCGTATTAACGCCAAGGCTCCCTCGGCCAATGTGAATGAGGCCAAAGCATGGTTCCAAGCTGCACACGGCTTAACAACAACCCCTTAAAGCAGTGGTAACAACGATAATAAATGCTACTTAGACTCCTGTTTTAAAACAAATCAGTTCTGTGATTTCACTGCAAAGACCTTTTTTTTTTTTTTTTTTTTTTTTTTTACCAAAAAGAAGAGGGAACAGGAGACAAGAGAAGGAGCCATTTGTACAAAAATCAAGTCCCTGTATTCTTCAGGGTTATTTTTTTCAAGCCCGATGTGACCAATTAGTTATTTGGGGCAATGGGGAGACTCCCTGAAGAACAATCAAATATAAAAGTCCAATACCAATCCATGGCATTCATTTGTTTCTAAACTCGGTGGCATTGGTATGCACCCTCGACACAAACAAAACGACGCCTCTGTAAGCTATTTTACCGGTCGTCGGGTACAGAATGCCCAAGGGACAGTCAAGAACTACTTTTCTGGCTGTAAGTACAGGTGACATGTCGGGAAGGCGCCAAGCGGCCTTGTGCAGCTAACGTTGACCGCCACTTTCTCTAGGTCAGCGGGTCCCCCCAGGAACTGGGTGGGGCAACTCCAGGCACCGTCCCTGATCCCGGACGGGAGCCTCAGGCCTCTGGGTCAGCAGAGTTGAGAGTTCTTGTCCGTTGTGTTTTAGTACCACCCTGAAGAGCCAGCAGCTGAAGCTGAGTTCTTTCTTAACTAGAACTCCATTTCAGGAGTATTATTCTTTTAATATTTTAATTTGAGACAGAGTTGTGATTTTAATAAGGAGTTCCTGAATCCCTTGTCCAGAAGTCTGCTCTGTGAGGGAGCACAAGCTGAGAATTCTGTGCTTGTGCACACACTTATACACATCACATGCTCTCACATATGCACAGATTCTTACACACGTGCACAGGCTCTCACACGTACACACTCACATGTGCATGGGCTCACCATAGTAACTAATATTAGTTGAGTCCTCACTTTGTGCCAGGCACTGTGAGGTGCTTTAAATGTGACCCTATTTTGTCACAACAACCACTTACGTCGGATAAGGATTACTGCACGTGAGGTAAGTGAGATTCAGAGATAGAGCGGAACTATCCAAGAGGAGGCATGATCACTTGTGGAACCAGGACTCACATGCCTTTCGGAAAACATGACCCCGGAGTTGGGTAAAAGTAGGGGACCCCCCGAATGAGGTTGACATTGGTCCTTTTAACCACACACACGATGTCCTTAAGCTACAGCCACACTCCATTCCCATGTGCCCATCTGACTTTAGGCCTGGGAAATTCCCCTTCGATGTCTCCATGCCCTTTGCTCAAAATGCGACCATAAATGCATGAGATATTGACTAGGTGCATATCAAAACACAGCTCAGCCGAAACCAGTTTGGCTCAATGGATAGAGCGTCGGCTTGGGGACTGAAAGGTCCCGGGTTCGATTCCGGTCAAGGGCATGTACCTTGGTTGCGGGCATATACCCAGTAGGGGGTGTGCAAGAGGCAGCTGATCGATGACTCTCTCATCGATGTTTCTGACTCTCTATCTCCCTTCCTCTCTGTACAAAATCAATAAAATATTAAAAAAAAAAAAAAAAAAAAAAACCACACAGCTCAGTTCCTTCTGGCTATGCCTCACACACACCCATTTTGGGTTTCGGCAGCTGTGAGGGGAGTCCATTGCCTAGTTATTTCCTGTCCTGAAGAGAGCTGCAGGGGAGCTCGGGGGGTGGGGGGGACACCCTTGGCAAAGGAACTTGATAGGGCGAGTCCTGCTGCTGTTTCTGCGAGACCCCGTCCGTCTGGGGTGAGAGGCCGCCCCTTGCAGCAGGCTCTCCGGGGAGCTGTGACACCGGAGGGCAGGGAGGCTTGCTTTCCCGCTCAGAGAAACCTTCATCTACACGTTTGCTAGAAAAGAATACGTCCTCTGTCTGTAGAGGGTAGAGTACAGAGCTTTTCGCTTTGGGACATCCACAGGGCTCATATCTCCCAATGCCCTGGTCCAGCCGCCTCTGCCCTCCGCCAGGTACAGCCAGGCAATCCGATGGCACAGGCCAGCTGAGCTGAAACGCGGGCAGGCTGGGCTGGGTTCCATTCCTCATTAAGGACAGGCTTTTGTTGTTGACCGTGATTGCTGGTTGATACCCTGTTTCCCCGAAAATAAGACAGTGTCTTAATTTTTTCTCCCTAAGTTGCGCTAGGTCTTATTTTCAGGGAATGTCTTATCTTTCCATGCGCTAGGTCTTGTTTTCAGAGGATGTCTTATTTTCGGGGAAACACAGTAAGTACAGATGCCAAACATGCTCAAAAAGGAGGATAGAGCAGTGCTTCGGAGACTTCCACGGTGGCTGGCAATCATGTGGAAACTTCTTGGATGCCTCCGTGCATGCCTTTGTTCAAAAATGAGACAGTAAATGCATGAGACATCAGATGCAGGTGCCGACCCCGCAGGCCTCCCTGGGGCTGAGGTTCCCCTGTTAGCGCCTCCGGGGGGATCTGGGGACCCCACGTTGAGGACCTCCATGTGGTGTCCGGGGCAGTGGGGGGCGGGGAGCACGTGGGAGATTCCACATCTGCCCCCACCCCTCCCCCCCTGGCTCCCAACCTTCCCCGGGAATGACTGTGCACGTCTGTCTTGGCGCCTAGGTTTGTCCACCCCCGCTTCGGGCCCATCAAGTGCATCCGCACGCTGCGCGCCGTGGAGGCCGACGAGGAGCTCACCGTGGCCTACGGCTACGACCACAGCCCCCCGGGGAAGAGCGGGCCCGAAGCCCCCGAGTGGTACCAGGTGGAGCTGAAGGCCTTCCAGGCGGCCCAGCAGAAGTGAGGGCCCAGGCCCGGGGCCCCGGCGGGCGGGCCGGGAACGCGGATCTATGCACCAGGTTCATCCAACCACGGGACAACCAGGGACGGCTCGTGCTGTGACGTCACACATCCTCTGGCTCCGCGGCCCGCCGCCGCCACCCTCGCGCACACTGACTAGGTTTGACTGTATTACTCTCGCCAGATTTAAAATTAGCTAGCCCTGCCGCAGCGCCCTGCCCAGAGGCATCGTGGAGGGAGCGCTTGACATAGACAGCAGGAGGCTCTTGGGTGGTTCGAGTCTAAATCTGGACCACACTGTGAGATGCCAAACGATTCGACTGAAAAAGGGAAAGGGGGGTTTTTTGTGTCCTTTTTAGCCAGTGGTTTTTCCATGATGTTTTTTTTTCCCCCCCCTCCCCGCGATGGCCAATGTAACGTGTGCTGTCATCGCGCCTGCCCATGGGCCATATGGAGGATAGAGAATTACTACGTTTCTATTCTCTACGTGTAGGATAATTTGCCTTTTAACCTTTGATCTGTATCTTGCAATAGAATGGCTTTGTTTTTCCCCCTTAGCGAACAGAAGCCCAGCTTTGGGTCATTTCGCCCCTCAGTCCTGTTCCCTTAGATACCTTCCACAGGGGGAGAACTCCCACGTGGATTCTTGTGTCAGTGCCAGTGTGTAGGTCTCTCTGGCTCTTTCTAGATCATCGTTTCATGATTATGTCCTAATATTCAAGAACCGGCTCAGAGAGCCGGGGCATTATTATAGAATTTATTATTCTCGCATGTAAACAAAGATAACCTTTGCATTAAGATGTGGGAGGAAAGAGTTTACTTTTTTGTTCGCATTAAGTTATGGAAGAGTTGTAATATATACACACATATATATTTTTTTTAAGAAAGAAGAGAGGGGAAAGTAGTATTTCTAAGCAGTAGCTGTGGCAATTTTTGCAATATCTTCAGTAGCGTTAGTGATTCCTTTCTCTGGGCACACACATTAAATGTACATAACGCAGAGCAGGCTGGCTTGTGACACGGTGCACTGAATTCAGGAGCCAAACGGCAGGCTTGAATTTCTGACACAGAATTCACAAGTTGTCCTGGTTTTGTTTGTTTTTTTTAACCGCTACTGTTAAGAGAGACATACTGATCACTAGGTACAAATCAACCCTTAGTGCTAAAACTCTTCATCGTTGTGGTTTCAAAGCACTTAACCCGCTTCAGAGCATTGTGAATTAAGAACAACACCTGCATAGTTTTAAAGCAACAATATCAATAGCATTTCAGCCTTTTTGCAAGCCATGTGTAATCACGACTGCAGGAATGAGGAGAGGGAAAAAAACACCTGTCTTTAGTTTAGCTAATTAGGTATATAACATAACCGGGATCGCTCTGACGGAATTCGGAGAGTTTGGGGTTTTTGTGTCAGCGAGGTCTTCCCTAGGCGCCCCCACAGGGTGGCTGGGAGGTCTGCCTGGGAGGCCTGCCGAGCAGCAGCGACTCGATGGGCAGTTGTCACCTGACCATTTGGGTCCCGAAAGCTGAAAGTAGCTGGTAGTGAGCTCTGGCTGAGGAGAGCGGGTTTGCTGGGAGGAAGACAAGAGCGAAGAAACCAGCAGAAGACAGTCTGATAGTCCTTATCCGCTACGCACAGCTCTCTCTGGAAGAATTACACAGATGTGCCTGACCCAGGCTCTCACAGCTTTCCGTGCAGGCAGCCCCCAGGGGCACGGGCCTCAGCCCTCCAGATGGTGACAAAAGCCTCCTGTGTGCCTCCTGCGCTGGGCGGCACGGTCTCAGGGAGATGGGCTGATGGTCCACAGGAGAGAGGCTTCAGGGCTGCCAGAGAGATGCCTCACCAAGGACCGAAGAGAGCTTTCAGGTTCAAAGGCACCAGGATAGGATCGCTCCTATCCTGTAGAAAGAGGCGGCTCTGTCCACGGTGACAGGCAGGCAGCCTTGGGACTTGCGTTCTGATAGGTGCTTTCCTTCCCACGGGTCCCCCGAGAGGGGTGTTGGTGGGAGAGAGGCGGCCTTCAGGAATCCCAGTGTGCTGTGCAGTGGAGTCAGGTCAGGGAGGGAGGCCAGGGAGAGGATGGCTGGGTCGCACCCGGAGGCAGCCACACTCTGAAGGATTTCATTCCTAAGACTGCAAGAGGGTGTAATTTCTGTCCTCGTGGGCTACCCTGATTACCCCAGGCAAACGGGATTTTTCTCCTTTTTATTTTTTTATGAAGAGCTGTAAGTAATGACTAACCGACCAGTTCATTAGCTATTGGACGGTAACACTCTGCATCTAAAGCCAGCGGGGAACAAACCCAGCAGGGCCTCTCTCCCTCTTCCTCCCCCACCGCCCCTCGCTGTCTGCTGGCTCTTCTCCTTCCTCTTTCTCCCTCTGTGGCCAGGCCTGGGTGTCTGTGCGCCCCTACACCCCCAACCCGCCTCCCGCTCTCTGCCTCCCTCTCCTCTGTGCTCGCAGCTCCTCCCTCAGGTCTCTCTGGCTCTGAGCACCCTCTGTTCCAACCGGCCCCTGCCCCCGTCTGGTTCTCCATCTCTGAAATCCTTCAGAGTGCGGACCTCTCTTCATTGGCTCTGTGTCCCCTCTGGCTCTGTCGCTCACCTGCCCCACACGCACACACCCTTCTCCCCCAGATGTGAGGCTTTGTCACAGGGTGGGGGTTGAGGGGGCTGGGGTTCACTGAGACCTGGAGGGAGGAAAAGAAGTCAAGGGAGCTGACAGTCCCTAAGGAAGTAACCGGTGGGTTAGGGAGGGTTGTTCCCGGTTGGAGCGAGTCTGAGGGGAAAGCCTGCCAAACCCTTACATCCTGCGGAAGGAAATGTGTCAGGGAGCTGGCAGTGTCCTCAGCGTCACAATCACAGCAGGAATGGGGAAGCGTCCATGGCGAGGGGAATAAAGAAGTCACTTTTTGCTCCCCGGAACCCGGCGGGTGTCTGTGGCTGTGCAGCCCGCCAGGCCACGAGGGGATTCGCTCAGAGCCTCTCAGTCCGGCCCCTGCATGACCAGAACTTTCCTTAGCAGCTTTTCTGTGGTGAAACGTTATCTTGTGTTACTTAGGAATAGGAACTGATCCGTGGGAGCATGTCCCCAAACGGACATTGGGACCGACCGACCGACAGAAACAACTGTAAGAACTGAGTTTCCGGTGCAAAGAAATGACAAGCAGCCGGCCCAGAATGCTTGCGTTCTGTAGGGCCTGTTCCTATGTCCACAGCTTCCCCCCTGGTCTGCCTGAGCAGCTGAGAAGGAATCCCTTACCCAGGGCCTCTGGGAATCTGCCGGGGGCTGCGGTCAAGCTTCTCCGCCCTCTGGAGGTTCTTCATGCTCCTCCAGATTTCCTTCCCACCAACCCGCTGAGAAGGCCCAGGTGGAGGCCATGGGCTGTGACTATTACAATGGCAGGAGCTGTGGACAGTGGACTCTAGGGTTATCTTCCCAAGTGAGACAGAGGTGGCACTTTAGGAACTTCCTTTAACAGAGAAAAGTTTAAGTCACTCAACTGCAAAGTGCATTTACGATCTTCCAAGAAGGTAAAGTTTTGGTTTGCTTTGTTTTAAAGCAGTTGCCTCGTGTTTCTGTCTTAAGGGCAGTCAGTGATTTAAAATCGGACATTTTTCCTTTAAGAAAAAATGAGCAAAGCGATGTTGCAAGACCGATGATTGTGATGTTTCTTTGCCACAGATCAAAGGTTCACAAAAATCCGTTAAATCTACGTCTCCTGGTGGAGGCACCTTGGTAGATTGGGGATTTGTTTGTTTGTTTTTCTTTGATCTTTCCCGTTAGGGATGGGGGCCTCGGTGTACCTTCTTCAGTTTAAAGATTCTAAATTGTAATCGTTCTGTTTTGGCAAACGTGTGCATAACAGATTCAGAGCAATGAAGCGATTTCAAGCCATACAACCACCAGGGTGGGAAACCCTTTTCACAAATTTTAATGTGTTTGTATGTAAATAGATGTTTGTATGAACTATTTTCATGGTAGAATGAATATATTTAAATGAAGCTGAATTACTCCAGTGCTGTTTAAACAAATTACAAAATTAATTTTTTTGGTGAGATTTACCTGAGTCTATTGAGATACAATGCAGATCAATTTTGATTTTTTTTTTTTTTTTTAAATCAAAAGCCTACGGCTAACTCTGACCCGAGGCAGCTTCCCTGCGTGGTTGCACCTGACGCGGAGAGAGCTTGTAGGCTTCCCCAGTGCCTCCGCCGCTTCCTGGTGTAAGTTAGGTGCTCGTGGAGGTGTGTCCGCCCCCCAGCGACCTCACCCCTGGCCCCTGGGGCCTGCGGGGGAGTTCCAGGCATTAGAGACACTGGTGCATTTTATCCAGAGCACAATTTTTTTGCAGGGCAGCAGAATCCGAAGCCAGACGTGGCCGCGTGCACCTCCGAGCGGGGTTTTCCGGCCGCCATCCACCGCCACCCTTACTGCCTAAGTCACACACGTCAGGGAGGCTGCCCTCAGTGGAGTTGGGGCTCAGACCCCGGGGTGGGACTTCACGGCTTTGCGAGCAGCGCCGGCCCCCCCTGACCTCCACCTCGCAGAGAGGAAGGAGGCGGGCGCGGCCGGGCAAGGGGCCCCTTTCTCAGCACAGAACATTTCCTGTCTCAGCTCTGGGAGACTGACTATGCACGTTCGCACCCGACTTCCAGCCAGAGAGAGACGCCCTCGGGTAACACCAACCCCTGCTTCCTCCGTCTGTGAATCCGAGACCAAGACCAGTCACACCCTTGGGTATACCCCCCAGCCCTTCGGATGCTTATGTCACTAAAACACTCCTTTATAATGATTTTCAACTTGAGTGGGGGTTTTCTTTTTCCCCCCTGCTTTGGTCCTGGATATAATGGCATGATCCGTTTTATGAAAAAAAAAAAAAAAATGTCACTGTGCATATTAGCAATATGTCCACACACGCCACTGGCGTGGTTACGTTTTGGGTCACTGTAATTAATCTCGATTCATGGACTAGGAAATACAGGGACTACGTGATGCCCGCGTATCACCGAAGAACTTAGGTTCCTGGTTCTGCGCTCCCTGCTTCGGAAGTTTATCCTCCTGGTTCTTCTACCTTCTCTCTTTATTCCGAGATGCGTTTATGAGGTTGTGAGCTATGTTTACGGATTGGAAGCCAGGGGTACGCTTTCAGCATTTGTTGCAGCCAAGAGTTAGCCCCACCACAGTTAATGAGCATCTTTGACTGGTCTTCTGTGGAATTTGAACTAAATCTATGAGCCTTATTCAATATCTATAATTCTATGGTTTTTTAAAATTATGAGGAATTAATGAAAGATGTTTACATGCATAATGTTTGCCCTTACCGTGTGATGAGTGAGTTTTTTGTAGTGTGTCTGGGTGCATGTGCAAGAGAGTAGGAAAAATGTTTCTGAAACAAAACTTGACAAATATTTGTAATGAAAAGTAAACCTAAAGATTGCTATATTATTGCGCTATAGAAACAATGCAAGTATTAAACAAAATATACAATCACTGTCATACTGTATTCCTTCGGTCGTCAAGGGCAAAAAGGGAATGGCGGTTTTCCTATCACCCATCCAACAACATATTTCGATTACTAAGCAAACTTTACATTTTAAGTTGTTTAAAAATAGCATTAACCAGTTCCCGTTTTCAAAGCATTGTGGCAGGACTGCGGCGGAGAATGGAAAGATTAGGAGTGTTTGTGGTATATTTGTCCTAACTCCACGTACACACATAAATCCAGAAAACTTAGCAAAATCCCCCCAAGCATCTCTGATTGATGACGTAAGTGTTAAGGGTATTGAATGTAAATGAGGTAATCAGGTAACCCAGTGTTTCCCAAACTTCTCTCATGGTGAGAATCACCTGGTGGAGTTGTTAAACTACAGATTCCTGAATCCCAACTAAGAAAAGCTAAGCTAGAATTTTTGGGAACATATAGGTAAAATTGTATACTTAACTAGTGCTCTAAGACAGCTCCACCAGGTGATTCTCATCATGAGACAAGTTTGGGAAACACTGATAACCGACCTGGCCGATGGGAATACAAAACAAATAACGCCTGCCCTCCCTGGTCCCCCTTCTCTGCAGCTGGGGAAGCTAGCGGGTCACGCCAGGCTGCCAGGCCATGTGCCACACACTGTCCATGGCTCGTTAGCGAACCCTCTCCGTGGCCTCCCTCAGATGCCCGGCTTTGGGGTTCCCGCAAGTGTATCTGACCGGGTGCACACAGAGCATTCTCCAAATAGTTCCTGTGAGAATGACGCTCTCGTTTTTTTAAATCATGTTCTTGGTTTGCTCATTCGCTCAAGACACATTTCTCAAGCTTGACCACCTAGCAGTCCCTGTTTCAGGCCATTAACAAATGAGTGCACAAAAGCAGAGTCCCAGCCAGCCCGGAAGGGACGAATGCGACAGGGAAGTGTGTGGAACAGGAAGGGGGAGTGGGGGAGGGGCTGTAGGGGTGAGATTGGGGACCTCACTGAGAGGGGAGAGCCCAAGCTGGGGGGTCTGGGGAAAGGTTCTGGGTCCAGGAGGAGCTGTAAGGGGCCCAACCCTGAGTGGGGAGCTGCGTGGAGTGTCCAAGAGCAGGGAGGCCAGGGAGTCAGATTCCATATGGCCCCAAAGCCTTAAGGACTTTGTTTTTAACTCAGAGTGTGATGGGAGGTCAACCAATGATGTAAGATACTAAACAGCCCAGCTGGTGTGGCTCAGTGGTTGAGCATCAACCTATGAACCAGGAGGCTGTGGTTCGATTCCCAGTCAAGGCACATGCCTGGTTGCAGGCTCCATCCCCAGTGTAGGGTGTGCAGGAGGCAGCCAATCAAAGATACTCTCTCATCATTGATGTTTCTCTCTCTCTCTCCCTCTCCCTTCCTCTCTGAAACCAATAATAAGATATATTTGAAAAAATAAAAAATTACTAAACAAACCAGCCTTGTTCCACCTAGTCTACTGAAGGTCCCAAACACTCCTTTGCTATTTTCATTGTTGTTAGCCCTTCCAGTGGAGCAGAAGAGTGGCAAGACCTGCCCCCCTTGGGTACCTGGGCACTCTGGGAGTGAACAGGTGAGGGTAGACAGGAGCGGGGACCCAGGCCGAAACAGGAAGTACAGCATGATGGTGGGTGGGATGGAAGGGGTGATGGTGGTGGGAAGTGGTTGAATTTCGGATATGCCCTAAAGGCAGCGACAATGGAATTTGCTGAGAGGTGGGTTTTATTTTCCAGGTAAGGGCTGGCTAACAGATGAGGAGACAAGATAGAAACAGTTCCCAGGCCCAGAGGGCAGTCCAGCAGGGGGCGGGCCGCCTGAGGGAGCAGCAGGGACAGGCAGGAGGCTGAGGGGGGTGGGGGGAAGTGTGGGCAGGGGCCTCTGCTGTGGTTTCTGGGAGAAGGAAGGCCAGGCCGGGCGAGCAGGCTTAGGGGGCTGGTTTGACACTGTGGTGGGCTCCGGGTTCAGGGGCTGCCTCTAGGTGTCTGGAGCCAGCTCTGTGGAGGGAGTGGGCTGGGTGCAAGAGCCTTTAAAGATGCTGGTTGCCCGGAGGGCTCTGGGTTGGTTGGTTTGTGTATGAAAGACACGCGTGGTTTGCTCTCTCTAGAAATAGGTAGCCCAGGGCTAGGAGGACCCCGATAGCAAAGCATCAGGATAAAAAGACACGTCCCAGAGCAGCCCATTCGTTTTTCCGGGGTGCAGCTCCCTCTTGTGGCGGGAATTCATTCTCGTGCTGCTTCTGAAATGAAGCCATAAAGCAAACACGTTAACCAAGGGGTGATTTGATACATTTTAAAATCAAACATGAACTCTGGGTCAGTGTTTATTTTTGTCCCCAGGTTGGACGTGGACGAGCCCAATAAAGACACCATTTCCAGGGCTTTTTTATTTTTTAAATAAGTTCACATTTCAAAAGAGCTAATAGTGCTTTTGGAGCATGCAACTAACTATGTCGAGCAAAGTTGACTTATCTTTTAAAACAAACTAAAGCATGTTTGCCCAGCCGACATGGCTCTGGTTGAGCATTGACCTATGGACCAGGAGTTCATGGTTTGATTCCCGGTCACAGCACAGGCCTGTATTGTGAGTTCGATCTCCAGTGTGGTGCATGTAGGAGGCAGCTGATCAATGGTTCTCTCTCATCATTGATGTTTCTCTCTCCCCCCCACCCCTTTCCCTTCCTCTCTGAAATCAATTAAAAATATATTTTTTTAATAAAGCATTTTTATGTCACAGAGCTCTTGAATATCTACCTGGCTAGAGCACAGTTTTCTGCAAAACATGGATTATGAGTATGTTAACCCTAAATCAATCAAATCTTCTCTGACCTATCATATTTTTTCTAATGAGTCAGCTACGGTGTGGTAAGAATCGCAGATCACCAGGGGAAGTGACCTTCCAGTTACCCATGTGCACAAACCGTGCAAAATTACAAGCAAGTGTGTAGATACACCTTCACCTACAAGCAGCTTCCTCGGTTACTGTAGACTTGAGCTCCTAGACAGAGCAGAGTAATATAGTTTCTCCAAAACAAGGAAATCTTAAGTCACTTAAAATAAAAATAAAAAACTGGAGCTATATTCAAGCTCACCATGTGAACGGGATACACACTGAGGGTGTCCATCCCACACCTAGAAATTGTTCCCTAAAAGGAAACTAATTTATCTCAATAGGTTAGGGACATTAGAGACATTTCTAGAGACTTCTTTGCATAGCAGAGCAATTTACAATATAGCGTGTGTGTGTGTGTGTGTGTGTGTGTGTGTGTGAATACCACTTACCTAAGTAAGACTTGCATCACGTAGGCCTCAGCCAAAGACCTGAAGACAAGAGACGTCGAGCAGCCACTAACCATTCAGAAATTCGTGTCCTTGCTGGGACCGGTTTGGCTCAATGGATAGAGCGTTGGCTTGGGGACTGGAAGGTCCCGGGTTCGATTCCTGTCAAGGGCATGTACCTTGGTTGCGGGCATATCCCCAGTAGGGGGTGTGCAAAAGGCAGCTGATCGATGACTTTCTCTCATTGATGTTTCTGACTCTCTATTTCTCTCCCTTCCTCTCTGTACAAAATCAATAAAATATATATTAAAAAAAAGAAAAAAAGAAATTCGTGTCCTTTACTCTGTAGAACTGCCCCAACACAGCCACCAGGACGTCAGGTCCAGCCTCAGAGCCTCTGCCCCAGCAAGATGTGAGAGCCAGCAAGAGACGGGGAGGGAGGAGCTTCTGGAAAAGGCAGCGGGTTTCTAGAAGTCTTCTCCCGTTTTCTAGCACCATAGCTTGAAACCTGCGACCTGAACGCTATCCACCCGCGCTCTGCTCCTCAATTCAGCAGGCAGAATCCCCTGCGAAGGTGCAACTGTGCAGGTCCCTGCCCCCCCCCCTCCCCCCAGAGGTCCTGCACATGGGCCGCCCCGGGCAGCGCTCAGGAAGCCTGCTGTTTCTGCTCTCCAGCGCAGTGCGGCGAGGCTCAGAAAGAGACTCCTGAGCAATTAAGATCAAAGTAAGTGGTCTGCCTGTGGATAATGTAAAAGTTACTCTCTGGGAGCCTTGTTCCAATCAGGGCAGAGATATCTAAAGTCACCAGAAAAAGGGGGAAAAATAGCTCTCAACCCGGCAAAGCTTGATTTGATAAAACATCTTTAAAAGCAATCAGGTGCCGAAACCGGTTTGGCTCAATGGATAGAGCGTCGGCTTGGGGACTGAAGGGTCCCGGGTTCGATTCCGGTCAAGGGCATGTACCTTGGTTGCGGGCCCATTACCAGGAGGGGGTGTGCAAGAGGCAGCTGATCGATGACTTTCTCATCGATGTTTCTATCTCTCTCCCTCTCTGTACAAAATCAACAAAAAATATATTTAAAAAAATAAAATAAATTAAATAAATAAATAAAAATAAAAGCAATCAGGCTGTTTGCTTTTAATGCACAGTCCAATGCAGGAAGTGGAGAAAGTGGATGGGGACGTAGATAAAACCAGACTGACCGTGTGTGGATGATGGTTGAAGCTGGTGATGGTGACCTGGGTTCATTCTCATATATTGTGTATTTTTATGTTTCTAGATCTCCATAATAAAAAGTTGAAGAAAAAAGAGAACTTTGTTAACTGCTAGAGGCCTATACATGACATTTGTGTACTGGGGGTGGAGGGGAGAGGTGTCCCTCAGCCCAGCCTGCACCCTCTCACAGTCCAGGAGGGATGTCCACCTTTTGGCTTGGGCCCAATCCCCCAAGAATCAGGCCTAAGCTGGCAGTCAGACAACCCTCTCACAGTCCAGGGCTCTTGCAGTCCAGGACCCCTCGCTCCTTACTGCCTGTCTGCCACGGAGGGGAGAGGCTTCTGCCACAGCTGTGAGCCCGGCACTCCCCCTATGGGAGTGCAATGACCACCATGGGGCAGCTCCTGCATTGGGCATCTGCCCCCTGGTGATCAGTGCGCATCACAGCAACCAGTCATTCCGATGTTTGGTCAGTTTGCATATTAGGGTTTTATTATATAGGATAAACATATTCAAACACCA